TCTGCTAAACCACCGGTACTTCCAAGGCATTTTTCCCAATGCTGGAAACGCGCTGTGAGCCAAAAAAAAAACAAACCAACACAGCTTTCTTTGGGCCAGTGTTGCCAGCCATTTTGCTCCAATACCCCAGGCCCAAAAATTGCAGTCCATTAACCGACCAGGGTGGAAACAAATGGATGGGACAAATCCTGGTGGTTTAAATCTGAGGCTTGCTATTCCAGTTAAGTGTGTGTGAAAAGACCCCTCAAGCTGGTAGTGTGTGTGAGCAGGACCTCAAGCTGGCAGTACATGTGAGCAGGACCTCAAGCTGGTATGGGAGGTTCCAGCTCAGGACTTCAAACACAAAATCCTCGGCCTCAACCGCATAGTTGGGACTGGCCCCACAAGGGAACCGCACTCCACACGGCACAAGATCGCCAATCACAATCTACAAACACCCATCTTGCCTAGTTGAACCTACCTCAATATGTCTGGACATAACTAATAACTCAGATACGACTGAAGGGTCCAGGGACATAACTAATAACTCAGATACGACTGAAGGGTCCAGGGCCTCCAGGCCACTGGGCGGGAAATAGAGGGCCACATTCTAAATTCAGTGCGCATACAGGAGCCGACATCTGAATCAGGGATCCGATTCCAGAACCTACAAAGACACCAACGGGGCTAGCTCAGTTGGTACACCCGTGAACTCTCGAAAAACATACTCAAGTTCGGGTCCCAAAACTAGCAGATGAACAAAATAAAATCATTCTGAATTGCCTGGGGCCGGTCAGTTCAATGATGATATCTCAAGACCGTCACCCTTAAAAAAAAACTAATAAAAAATTAATAATAATTAGTGGTAGGTAGGTAGTGTGAGGTGAAATTGAGAGAAGAACATAGCTTTGAAAAAAAAAAAAAAAAAAAAAAAAAAAAAAATCCAGAAAGACGGACAAAATTCACAGGGCCTGGCCCTGAATGTGGCCATGGGGTAGAAAGGGGCTAGAATTCGGCAGATAGGGCACATAATTCACAAGGCCTGACCGTGAATCTGGAGCCCTACTCCACGGGTAGGAAGGGGCTAGAATCTGGTAGATAGGGTACACAGCAGGGAGGCTTCCCCTTACCATTATCTGCTATTGTTCAACTCTTGCTGGCTAGAAATTATATCTTAGTCCTTCAGGACATCCGTTAAAATTGGAACGATACAGAGAAGATTAGGCCTGACCGTGAATCTGGAGCCCTACTCCATGGGTAGGAAGGGGCTAGAATCTGGTAGATAGGGTACACAGCAGGGAGGCTTCCCCCTACCATTATCTGCTATTGTTCAACTCTTGCTGGCTATAAATTATATCTTAGTCCTTCAGGACATCCGTTAAAATTGGAACGATACAGAGAAGATTAGCATGGCCCCTGCGCAAGGATGACACGCATAAATCAAGAAATTATATCTCATGTATGTTTTCCACCCCTGGGCCAGTACAGCACAGAAATGCACCACGAGGTGCCCAATGAAGAGGCCAGACACACGGTGATTGCTGGCAGCAGGAAGCCAATGATTATCCTGACACAGTAAGGCCTCCTCCCGACCCATCCTCATGTCAATACCCTACCAGTACTGAAGCACAAGTACATCCAGCTATCGGCCGCGGGCGCCCGTCAGAATCCGGTAGGCAACACAGGCCACCAATTTTTTTTTTTGACGGCACGCCTGCGCTGTCTTTTTCGGGAGAAACTCGTATGCGACGAGTTTCTTTTCAGCAAGGCTGGGGCCGTGTACTAGCGGGTAAGGGCAACTTGGACCGAGTAGCAGTGACAAGCACCCAGGCTGGGCAGTACCCAGCCCTAGTGGAAGTGGAAGCGGACGAACCATATGCCGTACGGGAACTCTGGATGCCATGCTCATGCAAAGCTGGCACAAGCACCTAGGCAAGGCAAGCTAGCACCCGCAGACATATCCTACCTTCCTTCCCCTGACTTACCCAAGGCTAGGCAGAACTCGGACTAGCCGGAGCGGCTTTTATATCCCCACCCTACCCTAGAGTCTATAAGCCATTCAAGAGCAGACCCCCCCCCCCCCTGATMCCCCCCCCAGACTAGGCAGTATGTCTTCTACTGGTCGTATAGCCCCCCCTGGAGAAAGCCTCCCCCTGGTTGTATAGAGCCCCTGGAGGTACTCCACATCGACGCAGCAGAGGGCCAACCCTATGTTGTCGACGAATAGACAGCCCCTCCTCCAGGCCCCAGTCATCAGCTGGCCTCCTCGACCCCCAAAGGCACCCATGCCTGCTTGATCTATCCTCAGTATTAACTGCCTCCTACCTATCAGCAGATTCCCCCGGTCATCAGCTAGGTTCCTAACTGTAGGGATCGGAAGGGACCAACAACAAACTCAGTACGTGGTCCACGAACCTATTATAGGCTGTAATCTGAAAACTTGAGACTTGCAAGTGGGCCACCACTTATATTTCCACTAGCCCGTCGCCTGTCCCTCCGATTGTGCATAGGTATGGTTGTGTGTGTATGTGTAGATGTCTAACCCTGCTGACCAGTTGCATACAGTTGTATAGTCGTATATACAATTATACGGTTGTCAGTGCCCGTAGGCAGTGTATGGTAATATGTGTAGTGTATGGAGGCAGTGGCATGTGGGGTATGTGAAGAGACGACAGGCCAAGCTGAACAAGGACTCCCATAAAGTCCCCAGCCAGACTCGAACCCACTAATGGTACCTATGTGTAGTATGGCAGACTGGGGAGATCAGCAGAGGAACAGCGACAAGCAACCCACGCAGTGTCGAGACCCGACATACAGTGGTGCACAGGCAGTGTCCGTAATAGCTTACCTGCGTCAGCCCAAGGGGGTATCCAAGTGACCATACATTATGCAAACACCCTCCAGTTCTCGGCACAGAGGTGTGGAGTTTTGAACACACAACCTCAGAGCACAATGCACATAACCACTGAGCCCCAGGCCACTTGCAGTTTCAAACTCCTCAAGCGCTGGCTGGCAAGGAGGGCTGAAGCTAGCAAAAACCAAAAAATAGTAATAGCCACTGGACGGCCAAGAATGAAACCCTGTGACGCTGCTCTTTTTTCTTTTTCTTTTCTTTTTTGAAGAAACACCCCAAGTAGTTGGTAGGGATGCTGATAAGAGCAGTCTCCACTAGCAAGCTCATGGACGCTGCTCGTTTGGGTTGCACAGACTTACATCTGGACATGACATTCAAAATAGTGTCCACGACTGCGTGTCTACAACAATCCAGTTCTTTTTTTCCCCATTACAAACCTATTTGATATTCACTAGCTACATTCAGTGTGACCAACTTATAACCACTAGACCGAGTGCGGCTGACATGAGAAATGAAGCGCCAGTAATTTTATCTGTGGCATAGCTGATTGGCTCCCACTACAGCTCAAACAACAGCCAAGCCATGGAACGGGCAGTAGAGACCTGCTCCATGACCACTGCAAAGAAAACAACACTCCACACACAACAAAGAATCAACAAACCCTTAAGAAATTGAAGTCAAATTATACATAGATGTAGATGTTAATAACCAGATCAGTAATTAATCGTGATTGACACAATAATGTTAGGTCCTACCACCCCTCACTGGCCCTCAGAGGAGAGCACAAAAGAACAACACTGAGGTGAGAGAAGTCAGCATGGATGTCTCAGTTCAAACTTCAAACGGAAGAACTCAACAGAAGAAGATGTTCCGTTCCAAATCCAAGACCGGCTGCAAATCACCTGTCAAAATCCATTATGCAATTCAAAATGCCATACTAAAACGAGGATCAAATAAGTGCAGCAACAACTAAAAGGTACTAAACTCTATTCTTGCTGCGGAGCCTCGATACACATGGTCTTTTCCCTCTCCTCTGCCGTTCAACCAAACGGGTTAACAACAACATCGACCCCCATGCACTTCATGTCACTGTACCTACCACTCCACTAACGACCGGCGCCTACAGAAGACTCCCAAGCACTGAAAGGTTACACATGCCCGATCCATTCAGACATCATATGCATATGAACCTCTTGACAATCACAGGGATTACAAACTCAGATGCAGCATGGTAGAATCAGGTAGTTGAGCGCAATGCCCCAAACACAAATATGGCAAGTGTGTAAGCATGTGTGTTCACATGTTTGCTATATGTGTTGTCAACTTATCTTTGCTATTCACAATACCAAAACAGCATGATTGTCCCAGACAGTTAGCACTTTCACCAACTCATCAGGAGGTTGGTCCAAATACTCCCAGGATGCATTCGACTGATGAAAGAGGACTAACCGCATCGCCCAGACAGGGCCAGAGTTAGCAACACCCCTGAGAAAACCCTCAACAAAAATGGCAGCAAGCCCAATGAAGTAATCAGTGCAGTAAGGCGGAGAAACAGTGCCATAATACCCACTCTACACCCCCACTCATCCACACAGAGAGAGAGAGAGAGAGAGAGAGAGAGAGAGAGAGAGAGAGAGAGAGAGAGAGAGAGAGAGAGAGAGAGAGAGAGAGA